TTCTTACATCACCATCCTATCCCATGTACCCTTCTGGCTCCCATTCTCCCTCCCCAAGAACCATCCCATATGACAAATAGTGTTTTTTCCCTTAGGATAAAAAATCAGCCTAAATGATCAACACATTGAGAAAGTTCAAAAACATGTACAATGTGTAACATCTGTGGCCCTCCTACCTCTACCACAGGGCAGGTTGGGGTTTCTTTGTACATCTCTTCATTGGAGTCTGACTTGATCTTTATGACTTTGTTACATTTACTTTGGATTGTTCGATGTGGCATTCTTTCCAATTACATTATTGTAGTTGCTGTGTATATTGGTTTCTTTGGTCTGCTGACTTCATTCTGCTTCAGCTCATATAGATTTTTCCATTCTTCTCTGTATTTACCCCACGCATAATTTCTTACAGTAGTATTATTACATTATATTCACATACCACAATTTGTTTGGCCATTCCCCAATTGCTGGATGTCTAATTTGTTTCCAAATCTTAGTTATCACAAAATACTGCTATAAATAATTTAGAGTAGATGGGGACTTTTTTTCTTATCAATGATTTCCTTGGAGCATGAGTCCAGTAACAGTCTCTAGTTCTAAGAGTATAGACATGTTAGTCAATTTGCGTGGTTCCAAATTGCTTTCCAACATGGCTATGCCATTTCACAGCTCCACCCATGTATTCATTCTGAGCCCGCTGGCACAGGCAGTTGAGTCTGCAGGCACTGGTGGTTCAGAGCTTTGCAGCACTAGTGTTTCTGGGTTATAGCACCCTCACAGGCTGAAGGGTTGTTGTCAAGCCAGCTGTGAAGGTCTGAGAAGACTTCCACAGCCTAAAGCCAGGGTCTCTGTGGCACCAGAAAGAGGAAGAGAAGACCGGGGTGCAAGAGTGAGTTTTAATGTAAGTCTGCAACATGTCTTTGGGTCTGCTACTGCAGGCTTGCTGCCATTAGCGTGGAAGGTTAGGGAGGGGTCCTGAGTGGGCTCAGGACCAGTGAGTTCCTGGGCTTAGGTTTGTTTTTTACATTATTTTAGACTTTTTGTTTCCTAGACCATGGAAATAGCTGAAATTGCTATATCTTTGGTACACAATTTGTTGGGGGAGGGGATGTGGAGAGGTCATGGGGATCAGAAAAAATGTCTTATCTGACCTCACACTTGACACTTACTAGCTATGTGACCCTGGGCAAGTCACTTAACCCCAATTACCTCACCAAAAAAAAAAAAGTCTAGTCCACCATCTTGTGGCTTATATTACCCAGAACTCTCATCAGAAATATTTTTATTCACAAACAATAAAATTTCCATTCACAAACAATAACATTTTCAGAGTCATCAGGTCTTAGAATGCAGATCACTGGGCCAAAGTACATGAACAGTTTTCAATTCATTTCAACAAATATTAAGCACCCACTATGTGCAGACAATGTGTGAAGCATTGAGGAGACAAAGACCAAATGGAAAACAATCCCTGCCACCCAATAGCTTACATTCCACTCAACAGGTACAACATGTGCACAGATCAGTAAGTACTGAGTAATTTGAGGAAAGAGTCCTAATAACAGGTATCCTTGAGGAAGTTTTGCATAGAAGGTGACACCTAAGCTTGGCCTCTAAGGAGCACAGGTATTTTTAGAGGCAGAGGTGAGCAGGGACTGCACCCCAGGTAGGGGGACAGTCTAATCAAAGGCACAGAGGAGGGAGTTCAGGCAGCAAGCAGGCCAGTGGGCTGAAACAACCCAGTAAGTGAAGAGGATTAAAATAAAATCACTGTGGAAAATCAGGCAGGAGACAGACAGAAACGCTTCAGACACTAGGCTGAGGAATTTGTACGTTATCCTAGAGGCAGTAGGGAGCTCCTGAAGCTTCCTGAATAGGGGAGGCACATAGTCAGACTGCAGCTTTAGAAGGCTGTCATGGCAGCTACGCGGAGCGAAAGGTCCCTGGAGGCAGGGGCCAAGCAGAAAACTGCAGCAATGATACGAGCAGGAACTGGTGAGCACCCAATGTAGCTGAGAAGGGGAGGCAGGAGGGGCTGTGGAGGCAGAATGGGCACCCTGGCCACTAAGTGGCTCTGGTCGGAGAGGACTTGGGGAGAAAGATGGGGCTGTCAAGGGTTCTGAGAGCCTGGGTCACCAGAAGCATGACAGTAAAGGGAAGTGTGGAGGAGGGGTGGGTTTAAAGGGAAAGAGAATGAGGGCTGTTTTTTTGAGAGGGTGAGCTTGAGACGCAGGCCTGGAGCTCAGGAAAGAGAATTGAGCTAGGCACAGACACGGGCAGTGACATCAACTGAGAGAGGGTATAGAGAGGAGGGTCCAGGGCAGGAGTCTTCAGGAACATACACAGGAGGTGGGACAAAGATGATAGAGCAAAGGAGAAGGCAGGTAGATGGAAAATCAGGCGAGTAAAGTGGCACAAAAGAGGGAAAAGAGATGTCAAAGGCTGCAGAAAGGAATAAAAGGATGAGGCCACTGCATTGCAGCAATGAGTAAGCCATTGGGAACCTCGGGGAGAAGAGGTTCAGTTAAGCGATGGGCTCATAAGGCCGCTTAAAGTAAATGGGAGATGAGGAAACTGAGGCACCACGTGCGAATGGCTTTTTCTTTAAGTTTGGCTAAGGGGAGCAGACCTCCAGGTCTAGAGCGGACAAGTGAAAGCTACGTGAGATGTGGTTGCATCTGTGCAGGGTGAGAAAGGGGGATAAAGATGAGAGTGGGGGCAAGCTATCTGAGGAAATGGGACAACCATCGTCTTAATCTGTATTTCTCTAATTATAAGAAGAGTGAACAATTTTCCAGGTGGGTTATTGCTAATCTATACTTACCTACTTCTATCTTTTGACTGCTTATCTACAGAGGAGGGAACTAGCTCTCAGAAGTGTGTTTGATTCCCTCTATTTGTTGTACGGCACATTTTCAACAGAACTGAAATGAAGATGTTCCGAGGAAACGTCCCCTCCCCATCAATAACTCAAGCAGTGGCTAAGCATCTACTTCTCTGGCAAGGTCCCCCAGCTGATGGGGACCCCACCACTTCCACGTGGTGAGGGCATTGAAGGGAAGGCACTGGGGTCACAGAATGGGGCAGCCTGAAACTCAGGTTCAGGCAGGAAGCTAGGCAAAGAGGGAGAAGGGGATCACTGATAAAGTCCTCCAACCATGAGGAAGGGTGATGGTCTTACCGAGATCCCACCGAGCCCACACTTTTCCCAAGTTACCCATCTCAATCTCCCTATATCCTCTCCAGGCTCCAGCCCCAGTTCCACAGTAATATTTCAAGCAGATGCCCAAGCATCTATGAAGTATCCTTTTTCCTTTCCCCTCTCAAAGATGACAAGCCTAAATGAAAAAGGCCAAATCTGAGGTCCAGACATCCAACAAATTCCCCACCTGACCCTGGGGTCCAGGCTGCTAGAGATTTTAACAGAGCAAAGTGAAAAATGATTTCCCTCTCATTGACGGTGAGTTGGACAGGACCTTGGGAGCATTTTGTCTAAGGTGTACCAGAGCAGCAATCCCCTCTAAAACACCCCTGATGTAGACAACCAGCCTTGGCATGAAGACCTTCGACAGAGGGAACCCATGGAAACAACCCGTTCTAGTTTTGCATGGCTCTGTGTAATTAGTAGGACGTGTTTTCTGGATATCAATCCTAGATCTGCTTCTGCAACCCAGTGCTGTCCTATGTCAGGCCTCTGAGGCCAAGCAGAGTAAGTCTTAGCCCCTTATAACCCTTGAGTTATAAGGCAGTTATCATGAATAGATGAGAGACTAGGTAAATGGGTGGAGCTGCTAAGAGAAAGGGTGGCACCCATCTGGTGCTCCCTAGTAAAATGACTCTGGAAATAAAGACTAATCTGCTTCACTAGAGGTGATACTTGCAACTTTAGAGATAAATAAGATTCCTAAGATTATGGAGAGAAGATAATAAGATCAAAGGCACAAGTATGGAAACACACAACTTATGGCCTTGAGAAAAGGACCAGAGGCAGCAAAGATGAAAGGGAACCAACACAGCAGAGTGGAAAGAGTGCTGAACTTGGAGTTGAGAGAACAGGGCTTGAATTCCACATCTGACAAAACTAGCTATGAGACCATGGGCATGTCACTCACACGTCTGTAAAATGGCCACGATGATCCTTGTTCTCTGGGGCTGTTGCGAGGAAAGCACAAAGACAATGGGAAAGGAAGGTGGGGTTGACAGTGTCACATTCTTCCTAGAGGATGAGGACTTTATGAGGAGGTCACTGAACTTGGCTTTTAGAAGACCACTGCTGACTTCGGAGAGAACAATTTCAGTAGAGGAGTTGTGACATGAGTCACAATTTGTGGAAGATCTGGCCAGCAGTGATACATTGGAGGCAGGATACTCTCAACCTCTCTGAGCCTGAAATGGGGATAACAGTACTTGTAGAAGTTATGCTACAAAGTCTTGGTGAGGATGAAGTCAGATAAGTAAAGTCCTTTGTAAACCTTTAAAAGGTTTTAAAATTTTAGGTTAAAAGGTTAAAAATTTTAAAATTTAAGCTCCTGTTTTTATTGGACATTGGCAGCTTTTTTTCAAAGTTTGACAGTGAAGGGAAAGAGAGATGGATAAATAGTTGGATGTGGTTTGTGAGGTTATTGTTTTGTGTGCCTGTGTGTATGTGAGTTTATTAATCAAGATCTCAGCAGGCAGTTGGAAAACATCCAGAAAAGGACAGATTTTAGATTCTAGAGAGGGAAAGGATGCTTGCGAGAGAAAGGCCTTGGAATGAGCAGAAGGAGGTGAAGTTAGGGACACAGGAAAAAGACCAAAGAGATACAAGGTGAGGATTCTAAGTTGATGAGCAGAGTTGAAAAAGAAAATACTCATCAGTTGCCATTCTTGGTAAATTAAGAGTTTAAATCATCAGCTATAAGTGTGAGAGTTGGAGGAAGGAAGCTGGGGATGTGAGAGCTGGAACTTCCACCGTGGGAAACTTAATAGTGATTTGCTCCATCTATTTTGGGATTTCCCTTACTTTTCTGATTTATTTTTGAAAAAAAAAATATGATAGACTGTGCTTTTCTATCAGTTATATCTAGATATATCCCAGAACTACCCCAGAACTGAACTCTCTTTTATAAAAAGCAACAGATACAGTGTTCAAATCCAACAACATATACAACATTCTGCCCCTGTAACCCTTCACCTTTCTGCCAAGAGGAGGAAGGCATGTTTCATTATCTGTTCTTTGGGACAGAGCTTAGTCACTATAAATACTCAAATTTCAACTTCCTTAGAGTAGTTCCATTTGCATCATGGTATTCACAGTGTATACTAGTCTTCTGGCTCTGCCTACTTCACTCTGAATCAGTTCATACCAATCTTATCAAGTTTCTCTGAATTCCTCAAACACATCATTTCTTGGTGCACAACAGTTCACCACTGCACACACCAGTATGTTCAGCCATTCCCAAACAATTCACAGGTGTCATGAATTCTCTAATTTCCAGGAGAGCGTACTCCAGCTGAATGCCTTCTGATTGTATTTACTAGATTTTCCCTTCATAAGCCTTCTCTCCACTGTGAGTTCTGTAATGCTGAGTGAGGTGCTTGCTCAGACGGAAGGCCCTCCCACATTCCTTACATTGATAAGGTTTCTCTCCTGTGTGAATCGTCAGGTGTTCAGTAAGTCCCGTGCTTCGGCTGAAGGCCTTGCCACATTCACTGCATTCGTAACGTTTCTCTCCAGTATGAACTCTCTGATGACGAGTAAGTTCTGTGTTCCGGCGGAAGGCTTTCCCACATTCACTACATTCATAAGGTTTTTCTCCAGTATGAATTCTCTGGTGTAGATGTAGTCCCGTGCTCAGACGGAAAGCCTTCCCACATTCATTGCATTCATAAGGTTTTTCCCCAGTGTGAACTGACTGATGTCGGGTAAGTTCTATGTTTCGGCGGAAGCACTTCCCACATGCAGAACATTCATAAGATTTCTCCTCAGTATGAATGATCTGATGTCGAGTAAGCAATGCACTCTGGTGGAAAGTCTTTCCACACTCATCACATTCAAAAAGCTTCTCTCTAGTGTGAATTCTCTGATGTACAGTGAGCTGTGTGCTCCAGCAGAAGGTCTTCCCACATTCATTACATTCATAAGGCTTCTCTCCGGTATGAATTCTCTGATGTATAGCAAGTTGTGTGCTCCGACTAAAGGCTTTCCCACATTCATCACATCCATAAGGTTTTTCTCCAGTATGAACTTTCTGATGTTCAGAAAGCTGTGAGCTCCTTCGAAAACCCTTCCCACATTCATTACATTTGTGAGCTTTATCTCGAGTATGAATTATCTCATGCTGAGTAAGTCCCTTTCTCTGGTGAAAGGTCTTCCCACATCCACTACATTCGTAAGGCTTCTTTCCAGTATGAATTCTCTGATGTACAGTCAGTTGTGTGCTCCGGCGGAAGGCCTTCCCACATTCATTACATCCATAAGGTTTTTCTCCAGTATGAATTCGACGATGTTCAGCAAGCTGTGAACTTCGATAGAAGGCCTTCCCACATTCATTGCATTCATATGGTTTTTCTCCAGTGTGAATTCTCTGGTGAACAGTAAGTTGGGTGCTCCATCGGAAGGCCTTCCCACATTCAATGCACTCATAAGGTTTCTCTCCTCGGTGAATTCGCTGGTGTCCAGCAAGCCCCGTGCTCCCCCGGAAGGCTTTTCCACATTCATGACATTCATAAGACTTTGCTGCAGCATTAAGTCTCCGATGCTGAATGAGGTCTGAATTGTAATCAGAGTATTTTCCCTGTTGGAGATACTTGTAAATGACCTTCTTTGAGTAGACCTGATGGCTGTTTTTTCTGTTTGTATTCCGTCGAAAGCTCTTCCTATGTTTATCACATTTATGGAGATTTTTTGGCTTATCGCTCTTCTCTCTTTCTACCCTAGGATCACCCTCCCAGACTTTTCCTGATTTGGAGACAGGAGGACTATCCTTTGGTAATCTCTGATGGGATACTGCCCCAGAAAGGCTCAGCTCTGGAGCTGACACCCTGGTTTGAGGCCTTATTTCTGAAACTGAAAGGAAGAGAAAAAAATGTAAATATTTTCTCCTTATTCCCTTTGTCATAATCATAAAAGTCTTTTGGCTCTAAGGCCAGTCCACTTTCTTTAAAAATTAAATAACCATGAGAAATTCATACTGAATATCAATATAAACAACTAAAACTTGCTTAGTAATTTTAAGTTAATGAATTTCAATATATAAATATCAGAATTTTCCCAGTTACTTCCTCTAAATGTCCCCCAAGATTCTTTGACCACCGATTCTCACTTCCTGCCTTCAGTCACAGTATAACACACCCTCCAGAGCCATTCCAACTCCTCTCACGCTGGTACAACAGCAGCTGACTACCATGCCCCTCGAAGTTCTAGGGGTTACCCTGAGGTGCTAGGATCTGTGTTGAGTACTGTCTTTCACAAGCCTCCCCGAAGTGTGGTTCCCACTGATAAGTAGCTAGCAGGCTCAATCAGCTTTTCAGCAAAGGTCCCTTATTAAACAGGTGGAGTAGAATAGCTGGGATCAGACATTCCCCACAAACTGGAGACCCACCTGCCTTTTACACTAAGAGGTACCTGAGGACAGCAGGCTCAGACTCAAAGTTAACATCAGCATCATCATTAGAATTTCTGTAGCTTTACGAATACAATCTCATTGGATCTGTAAGACAACCTTGGGAAGTGGGTGCTATTATCCTCATTTTATAGATAACTGAGGCAAACAGAGGTGACTTGCCCAGGGTCACACAGCTAGTTAGTATCTGAGGCCAGACTTGAACTCGGTTCTTTCTGACTCCAGGCCTGGTGCCTTATGCATGATGGCGCCTCCTGGCTGCCTTGTCACAAGGGGGTACCTCACAGTTCCTGCCTACTGCAGTCCTTGTCTCCTTTTTCCAAGTACTGATCTGTTCCCCTCAAGCATCGCCCTTTGCTGGGTGACTTTGGAGGGTCATCACACGGCTGCAGAGGGAAGGTCGAGGGGAGCAGGCGAGAGGGAGAAAGGAACAGAAACTCCCCCCCCACGTGACTTCCCTCTAAGGGCTTTGCTCGAGCTCCGCCACCACCAGTCTGGCTGCACCTGATTGGTTCAACATGCTGTTCTCTGTGGGGATCATCCACCATCCTCCCAATGATTAAAGCACTTCATTCCTCTCAAAGTTAAATGTTTATTCATCGCCAGTTACACTCTGGATTCACTGAGTCACTGTCTGAGACTACCTTAATCAAGCCAAACTACAAACTCCCACCCTGAGGCTCTCCTCCCCCGACTCCCAGTTAAACATCTGCAGGTCCTCATCCCAAATTCTGGCAAGTTCTCTAGTTACGTGGGGAGCTCCAAGCATTGTCCTTTTTCAACACCTCGTCCTTTCCTAGACCTAACAGGTGCCTGGCACATAGTAGGCACTCAGTAAATGCTTCTTGACTTCACTCATACTAAAGGGTCACTGGAAAAAACGTGTAGCACAATTAACAAACATCTGGGATTCATGTTCTTCCTTAACTCCAAAAACATAGTATCTGTCTAAAAACAGCTATCATTTTATAAAATTCTCACAGATTACAGGAAGCCACCCCATCACCCTCCAGTGAGGAATAAAGTTGTCAGGAGTGAAAGTTCCTCAGCGATTCCCTTCAGCACAAAAGGCCATCCCACTGCAGGTTCAGACACGATGTCTCCAGGGGTCCCTCACATACACCAGCCAATCCCACCAGAGGTTCAGAGAGACATTCTCTCTGGGTCCCTTTGTCACAGGGCACCCAAAACTTCCCCAAAGGATTCCTACCAATGTATAGGATATCTGGATGTCTGAGCTGAGTGAGAATAAGGAGTTACACTGAGGATGAGGACCTGGGAAGCTGGAGGGATGCTGGCACCCTCCACAAGAAAGGGGTGTGGTAGCAGTTATAAAGAGCATCGAACGCCAGACAGAGGATTTTCTATTTGATTCTGTAGGTGAGAGGGAGCCCCTGGAATTTATTGTGTAGAGTAACCAAGTGAGACAATAAGCTCTTGGCAAACACCAAAGCGCCACGTAAACATTAGATATTATAACTACTTCCCAAAGGGAAACAATCCTGATGAGAAAGAAAATTGGGAGTTGTTTGGGGTGACCAATGCAAGTGCAGAGAACTCCCTAGCCCACTTAGATCTCCAAAATGTCCCGCAGAAGACAGAAGCAAAAGAGGTGACAATGCTGAAGCTGGAGATGAGCTGAAGCCGTCGAGGGAAGCCAAGGACAAGGACAGGAAAAGGATGGCACTACTGTGAAAACCAAGAGGACCCCAGAGGGGGCAGGATCAACCTTCAGGGCAGACAGGTGGTGAAAACTGGTGGCAGAGGAAGGTGGGGTTGCTTCCTGCTTTTTTGTTCTGTTTTCTGGCCCAGGAGGAGGACCTCTGCCGGGGAGATGACGGCACAAGCCCAGGATGAGGAAAGAGAGAGAGAACAACGATGCACTGACCCCGGGGCTTCCCTGGCCCAGGGCTGATGCCTGCAGGGTCTCCCACGGAGAATGGGAGCGGCCCTGCAGGCCTCAACAGGGGCCCCTGTGGTCCAATGGTCAGCAAAGGAAAAACCGAATCTGGAAAGCCTGGGCCAACAGGATTGACTCTGGGTCCTCGTGAAACTCTAGAACGTATTTTTAAAGAGATGGGTACTGGACATCCGGAAAAGGGAGAAGTCATTCCTGAGACCCAGCCTGGCGTCGTCCAGAACAGTTCAGACCAGACTGACCTAATTAACTGGCCAAGGAGGGCAGTGCTGTTTACAGAGTTCACCCAGATTTGGCAAAGTTCTAGGACGAGTCTCTCCTAGACAGAGGGGCAATGACTTGGATTCAGAGCTGGCTGGTTGGCCAGACCCCCAGAAGAGCAGCCAGTCATGGTTTTAATCCGTTGGGCAGGAGGGCCCCAGGAAAGGGGCTTGGCCCTAGGCTACGTAATATTTTAATTAAGGGCTTGGATGGAGGCTTGGGGGGCAGGCTCAGTAAGTCTGCAGACGAGGCAGAATTGGAAAGATGAGCTAAGCTGGCCACTGGACAACACCGCCAGGATCCAGAAAGCTCTCAACATGCGGGAGCCTTGGGGTGAGTCAGGCACCGAGAAGCGTGACAAGGACAAATGTCAATTCTGATGTGGGTCTAAATGGTGACTTCACCAGTGCCATGCGGGAGAGGGAGGAGAGTTGTCAGCCCACAGCTGCTCTGAAAAAGATCTGGGGGTTCCAGTGGACTGACTGCCAGGCTTGGGCTGCAAACATCAGGAGAGGCTGAGCACAGAAGAGGGAGGTGAGAATCTGGCTCTCCTCTGTGCTGGTCAGACCACATCTGGACAACAAGGCTCCGTTCTTGAAGCTGGCTGAGGAAAGTCACCGTTTTGTACAATGAAAGCGATCGTATCCAGAACGAAGAGGAAAAACAGATTGGGGGTGGGCTGCCGTTACCAAGTCTGCAGGAATCTGAGTTCAAAATTGATACTCAATCAACGCAAATGCGTAAGATAAAGAGACATCCGGGAGATGGAAGGTCTCCACTGAGGATGGGAGGCCCTAGAAGGGTGGGGCTCCGGCCCTGCCCCCCAGGCTGAGAGCTGCCCACCCCCTGTTGGGATGGTGCCTCCCCCAGTGGCCGGCCCAGCCTGGCCTGACCCGACCCGCCGCCTCACCTGGGCCACGGGTTCCTGGGACATCTCTCTCCAGCATCCAAGGTGCTTCCCCTCTCTCCAGATGCTCAATCACACCTTGTGTAGACAGGGCCAGTCCTGCTCATTGGAAATCGGATAGAGAGAAGGACAGAGTGCCAGCTCAGAATTCAGTTCTGACCCTGCTGTAAGGGAGAGCCCGAGGGGTGCCAAGGTCTCTGTTATGGTTCTAGGGGGATTGGGAGAACCCATCCCAAAGACCTGTTTGAGCCAACAGCCCGTGGAGGTGGGCTCCCCGCGTCTCTGGGAAGAACAGACATTCTCACGGACAAGGGGATCGGGCTGTCAGGCTCCAGGCACACAGGCCACGCCCTCCCCGTGGGGGCTCCAGCTGGTGTGCGAGACCTCCCCAGCATTGACCTGGAAGGGAGGGAGCAGATTGTCCCCGGGGCAGATCCCGGGGTCCTCACCCAGGCACACCAGGTTCCAGTAGTTCTCCAGCATCACCTCCTGGTACAGCTCCTTCTGAGGAGGGGTGAGCCGCCCCCACTCCTCTGGGGTGAAGTCCACGGCCACGTCCTGGAAGGTCACGGAGCCCTGAAACAGCAGATCCGTGGGTGTGCTTGCCCAGAGCCCCGCCCTGACAGGGAGGGAAGGCGCAGCGGGGGCGCGGGGTTCAATAGTCACTGGGTAACCCAGCCTACGGCCCCTTCTCATCTCCTCCGCGCCATCCCCACCATCCTCACCCGGGTCATGCCTGCTAACTCTCCGTCCCCCATAGCCCTGTCCCTTCCCTCTCATCGACTCTCAAGGACTCAGCTGGCAAGCCCATGCTGAAGATTCTCAGGTCCATCTGTCCAGCCCTAGCTCCGTCCTCACCTCCAGCTGCCCACTGCACAGCTTGGCGTGGATGTCCCCTGGAACCCATGCCCTCCTCCTTTGGGGGGCAGCTGAAGGTGCAGGGGGAGCAGCACGGGAAATCGAGTCCATTTACTATCTGTGTGACCTTGGCCAAGGTGATTCACCCATTTGCTTCAGTTTCCTCATCTGTAAAATGGGGGTAACAGCACCTCCCTCCCAGGGCTGTTATGAGGGCCATATGGGATAATTCTTGTAAGGCACTCGGCACGGTGCGGGGCACGTAGGAAGCGCTACGGAAATTTTAGCGGCTATCATCATCATCATCGTCATTATTATTATTATTTTCCCCAAACTCTCCCCTCCTCCAAACTTCTTATCAATACTGAGGACGCCCTCCTCTTCCCAGGCCCCTAGGCATCATCCCTGTCTCCTCAAACTCACATCCCCCACATCCAAGCTGTTGCTACCCTCCCAAAGCTTCTCTCTTCTGACCCTGCCCTCACCCTGGCACAGACCCTCATCCTCTCACGCCTGGGCTATGGCAGCGGCTGCTGTGGGGGGTGGGGAAGGTCTGCCTGCCTCGGTCTCTCCCGCTCCAGTCCATCCTCCATTCAGCCCACAGAGTGAATTTCCTAAGGAGCAGGTGCAATCATGTCCCTCCCCTGCTGAATAACCTTCTCTGGCTCCCTGGGGCCTGCAGGGATCCGTCTTTGTACAGCCCTTCCAGCACGGGCCATTCCCACCTTTTCTAATTTGCCCACAAAGCGAAACTGGAGAGTGGTTTTGGTTTGCATCTCTCCTCTTTTGTGGCTCAGTCTTTCACGTGGCTGCTAAGAGTTTGCCACTGTCATTCCAACAAACCGTTCCTGTCTCTTGAGACATTCGTCCAAGCTCTCGCTCTCTGGGCTTTGGTATTTGTGTTGACACGTAAACGTCCCAGACGATGGATGCAAATCTTTTTCCCAGCTGACAGCCTCCTTTCTTTTCCTCACTGAACTGACTGTGCTCATCCAAAAACTGTTATTTTTTCTTTTAAAATTGCTTTACTGAGTATTAATTAGGTCTAGCTCCCATTGCCCCTTCTCCATTGAAAAATTCAAAATAAAACCCTCACAGACCAGCACAAGAAGACCCTCTGTGGCCACGGTGGAGGCACGTGGCCTTGGCCGGGGAGTGCCTCTGGCAGGGCACGGTGTCTCGGCAGCCCAAAGCTTTCCCACTTCACTGTGCTGAAATCGCCTACATCGAGTCACCTTCTGTCCTTTGGCTCAGCCTTCTCCCTTGGGCCCTGGGTTCGCGAAGGTGCCGCTTCATCCCACGGCCTCCAGGTGCCCATCCTCACGCTTGCTACTAAGAATCTGACATTACAGATTCTCCCTCCTTGCAAACATTCTTTGTCTGAGGGACGGCTCTCTGGGAAAGAGAAGGGTACAAGGGGAATCTGGGCAGGGAAAGTCTCTAAGGAACACCCCGATGGCAATTCTCGGTGCTCAGAGCTCGTCAGCATGGGAGCCAGGCAGCAGCCCAGAGCCCCCTGCCCGAGGCCAAGACTACTGGAAGGCGCCGAATCAGCGCGACAGGCCTGGCACTTAGCGCCCAAACTGGGTCCTCCCAACGGCGCCTCCTTGGGTCTCGCTTCTCTTGGGACTCAATGGCCCCCAAGGGCCAGGGCCAGGCACCCCAAGGATGAGAGAGGGCACAGAGCAAAGGCTGAGGCAAGAAAGGAAATGTCAGCGTGCAGGCGGGGTGCACCAGTGCTGACCCACCCACGCCAGGAGCTGCTTCTGGCACTTCTGTCTGATGGGGTCCGCCCTGGACCAGCAGCTCCGGCCTCCGGGGCTTCTTGGCATACCTCCCTGCACAGCCAGCTCAGTACTGAGCCTGGGCTGGAGAAGGGAGGGGGCGTCCCCCCGGGGACCTGGGTTCAAATGCTCCCAGCTTGGCCTCCTCCTCTGAGGCCCCAAAGGGGGCTGCTCACCTGGGGGGGCCCGGGGGCCATTCCCACCTCCTCCTCCTCTTCCTCCGGGCTGCTAGGAGAGGGCCAGAGTGGGTAGCTTGGGCCAGACGCAGACCCTAGGCTGCGCATTCCTTCAGTCCTTCATTCATTCATTCTGCAGCTGGCTGGGAGACACAAAAAAGACCAGCCTACCCTCAATCAGTCAATCAACAAACACGTTGGAAGGGCCTGGCAGCCCAGGCAGAGCGGGGACCTCCGCACACCGGGAGAGGCTGCCTAGGAAGCCGCGGGTTCAAGTCCTGCCTCAGATGCAGGTTGGAAGACCCCAGGGACCCTGGGCAGCTTGGAGGCTGAGGGGGCTCGGAGTGAGGCCATCTGCCTGGGAGGAGGGAGCTCCCTCACCGGGATTTCTTGCTCCAGAGAATTCCCAGGTCTGGCGGCCCCGCCCAAGAAGGAGGCGGGGCGGGGGCGGGGCTTGGGGAGGTGGGCGGGGCTCCAGTGGGGGAGGGAGGAGCAGAGGCACTGGAAGCAGCCCTAGTGGAGAAGGGCAGGCCCCACCTGGGGGGCGGGACCACAGGCGAGGGGGCGGGACCCTGGGCTTGGAGGCGGGGCGGCCTGGCAGGCATACCCCGCCCTCAAGCAGAGGATGAGGGCGCGGCCTCAGCTGTGCCGCTGATTGGCTCCGTGGCCACATCCCACCCCCGCCCTAACCAATGGGCATCCCCACTCTCACGGCCAGCCCCCGCCCACACCACGGCTCCTCCTGGCCCCTCGTCCTCTCTCGAGGATCCCAAAGCGGGGTCGGGGCCTCTCCCGCCCCCTGCCAGGCTCCAGTCCCCACTCACCTTGGGCAGGAACACAGGCCTAGGCACAGGAAGCGGCTCTGGAGGGAGGGGAAGGGAAGTGATGCACACGTGATTCCGCGCCGGAACCCCGCCCCGCTGGGGAAAAGAGACTGGTTCCCACAGCCTTCTGGGAAACGTAGTCTGCAGGCCAGCACCACAAGTGCGCATGTCTGGTGCTCTTTTCCTCGGCCCAACCCCGCCCCACCACGTGCACAGAGCTGGGCCCCTCCCACACGCGCCCTCCCTCTCGCTCCTCTTGCCCCCTCCCCGCTGGGCAGGGTCGGGCCCAGCTGAGACCACCTGCCTTCCTCAGGGGATCAGAGAGAGAGGGGACAGAGCTGGGGGAGGGAACCTTGACTTTACTGATTTATCGATGAAACGCTTTTGCATCTTAGTTCCTTTTATTTATTCTTAATTTAACGAAAGTAAATAAATCATTCCAATCTACAAACTTGTTACTGTTGTTAAGTCGCGCCCGACGCCCCGTGGCCCCATGTGGAGTTTTCTTGGCAAGGATACTGGAGCGCTTTGCCGTTTCCTTCTCCAGCTCATTTTACAGATGAGGAAACTGAGGCAAACAGGGTGAAGTGACTTGCCCAGGTCATACAGATAATAAGCATCTGAGGCGGGATTCGAACTCAGGGCTTCCTGACTCCAGGTCTGGCTGCTCTATCCACTGCCTACTTAGCGGTCCAACATCAAAAGCTGAAAAATGCAAAAAAAAAGAAAAATTGCCGGTGAAACTGCAAACCTGTTAGTACAGCCTCCTTCCCTTTAAAGTGGATAATAAATTCAACATTCTGCGTCCTTCTGTGCGTCTAAAAACAAGCTTAGGAACCCTCCTTCTCACTGTTACGGGAGCAAAGACTCCTCCTTGGGTGCCCGTGGCAGGCTATTTCTGCCAAAATGGATCTACCACAAGGCAGGAATTACGCGAAATTATGGACCGGGGGTGGCAAGACACAAAGGGGAGGGATGGCGAGGCAGGCGGGACGGGGCAGCGAAGAGCAGGGAGGCACCGAGAATCTCAGAGCTGGGAGCGCTGGGCAGCGCCGAGGGCATTGCCGAGGCCTGGGCTTTTTCTTGCACTCTGGACTTTGGTTATTGAGAGCCAGCCTCCACCCAGCGCTGCAACTGGGAAAGCAATGGGCTAAGTTCCCAACCCTGCTGAGGGGGTGCAAGGGGCTCTATTTCTAACAGTCACGAACTCCTCCTTGACCCATAGGAAGGCCAGGGCCTTTCTCTGATTAGGATCAGATTCCTGTGCCCCGGTTTCACAAACGTGGCTAGCAGCATCCCCAGCTCCTGACCAAGCACGCAAAGTGACAACTGCATGCTGGGCACAGGACGGCTGTTATTTCACTGCACATAAAATGCAAAGACTCAGAAGCCTCAAGCCCATAAACACAATGCGGAGAGCACTGAAAGGGCCTTCAAATAACCCCTAAGTACTTCTCCATCTCCAGTGTGTCCTATCTCTCCTCCATGGTTCTAAAGTATCTGAATTCCTCTTAGAAAGGAGCTGAACCATGGGCTGTGAGTGCATGCCCGACCACCTGAGATGGCATCCTTCCACTTCAGGGAGAGGGCTGACGAAGTCGAAGAAACCTCAGAGACAGCATGGAGCCTGCAAGGCCAGACGTGACGTAAATGCTAGCGGCTGGCTTTTGGGCTAGCTTCAGAAGCTTTTCTAAAGCCCTCTCACAGTTGGTGACTTCCCTACAGCCTCCGCCTTTGCCCCATTCGGAGTGCTTTGCCATTTCCTTCTCCAGCTCATTTCACAGACGAGGAAACTGAGGCAAACAGAGTTAAGTGACTGGCCCAGGGTCACCCAGCTAAGCGTCTGAGGCCAGATTTGAACTGAGGAAGAGGAGGCCTCCTGACTCCAGACCCAGCACTCTACCCGCTGCGTCACCTAGCTGCCCCAAAGGAGTTAGTCTGTGGGACAGAGTTTTCAGCTTCAAGCTAAACTTCTGATCACTCTTTCTTAATGAGGAATGGAGGATCCCAAGCTTAATATTCAAAATTTTACTTCTCAGCAAATGCCAATTCCACAGTGTACACACAGAGCAAACAAGTCCGTTGGTCCAAGTCTAGAGCAAAGCAGAAAGCAGAAAGGGGCCAAACAAATGAGCGCACATACTAGACGATGCAGAGCGAAGGAGCTCGCCCACTGGGAGGGATGTCACTCAGCTCAGTCAGCAGTCCCAGATATCACCCAAGGGAAACTCCCCAGCCTCTGGTGTGTCCTGAGAATAACGACGCGACGTTGGTTGGGCCTCCCTCCAGAGCTGGAAGCCAGAAGATCCCAGATCTCTCCTGTCCCTCCAGTTTTCTGCCACTCCACGCACCCCTCCTGGAGATGTAGGGGACTGATCTCCACCAGTGAGGACGGACCCAGACCCAGGGGCTTCTAAGGCTCCTTGCAAGACTGCAGCTACCCTGGAAATTGGCCTGCTCTAGGTAAAGGCTAGATTCTGTGAGGACGTGATCTAAGCAATCCCTCCTTTCTATCCATGTGGTCGGACTCCAGGGTTCTTGAACCTGGGATAACTACAGGAGCCCGGAGCACTGGGGTTTGGGGGCACCCAGCCTGGCAGGCCTCTGCCACATGGGTTTCTATGGTAACCCTGACTACACCAGCCTGCCACTGACTGCCCTCCCTCCTGCTGGCAGCTCACCCGGACAAGCGCAATCTCAGGACTCTGCTTTGCTAAGTTTTGCCCTGCACAGCTGCCCCTCCCCATCCCACAGCAGCTGCATTTGGCTCTATTTTTCTGTCCCTTGTAGGTCTTTGAACTGATTCCAGGACAGTGGAGATTGCGAGTGAGGAGCGAAGCGGGTGCAAAGGGAGTTCTACGTCTGCGAACAGCCCTTTTTCTTCCCGATCACTTTTTAAATTTTTTCATTTTAAGTATGAACTGAATCATCACCAAACATGACCATTTTAAAAGATGACGAACACGTCTGTCACAGTGGGAGCTGGTTTTAAAGCCAATGTGACTGTAACAGAACCGTCCGCATCCCGCCGCCTTTTGGTTTTCTTCTGGGCGTCTGAAAAGATGCTCCATTCAATTTGTTTCAAAACCTCTCTCCCTTCCCAGCCTTCTCAGGCTCTCCGCCGGCAGGAGAATCGGACGGACAGACGCTGTGTGACCTCCCCTTTAAGCTGGGCACGGCCTCCGGACTTCTCAGGGAAAGGCAGGACATGACTGCAGTGGAGGGTGGATGGGGGAGAGACAGCTCCTCCCAGAAGGGCCATGTAAGGAGGGCGCCCAGGGCAGGGCTCTTCATTTCTGAATGCCCCGCTCTCCTCTGCACTTCATCATGGCCCCCACACGGACCCTCCCAGCCCCAACCCCTTCCACCTTTTTATGTGCCATCTTCCCCATTAGACGGGGAGCTCCTCGAGGGCAGGGACTGGTGTTTGCCCCTGCTCTCACTACAGTGCCTGACACACGGCAGGCACTTAATACATGTTTAATACTGACTGAACAGAGCTCCACGGCAGTGAGATGGATCATGGGTATCCATGCCACCCCTCGAGCCCTATGCCTCTCCTGCTCTCTTCTGTTTTGACTTCCTTCTTGTCTTCTGCAGAATGGAAGCCAGCAGGAGGGAGGAAGGGAGGAGGGAGGGAGGAAAGAAGGGAGGGAGGGGGGAGGAAGACGGGAGGGGGGAGGAAGACGGGAGGAAGGAGGAAGAAAGGGAGGGAAGAAGGGGGTAGGAAAGAAGGGAGGAAGGAGGAAGGAGGAAGAAAGGGAGGGAGGAAGGGGGGAGGAAAGAAGGGAGGAAGGGGGGAGGAAGAGAGAGAAGGAGGAAGGAGGAAGAAAGGAAGGGAGGAAGGGGGGAGGAAAGAAAGGAGGAAGGAGGAAGAAAGGGAGGGAGGGAGGGGGGAGGAAGAGAGGAGGAAAAGAGGGAGGGAAGGTAAGGATTCATTAAGTGCCTACTATGTGCCAGGCACTTTATAAATATTATTTTATACTTACAAGCCTTACCTGGCAGGTAAGGGCTCTTATTATTGTCCCCATGTTCCAGATGAGGAAACTGAGGCAGACAAAGATGAATGGTTTACCAGGGCCACCCAGATGGTGTCTGCAGCCCCACAAGGAGTCGGCTCGTCCTGCCTCCAGGCCCCCCCCATGCACTGCGGCGCCCCCTGGCGGCCCCACAAGGAGTCGGCCCGTCCTGCCTCCAGGCCCCCTCCCCATGCACTGCGGCGCCCCCTGGCGGCCCCACAAGGAGTCGGCCCGTCCTGCCTCCAGGCCCCCCCCATGCACTGCGGCGCCCCCTGGCGGCCCCACAAGGAGTCGGCCCGTCCTGCCTCCAGGCCCCCTCCCCATGCACTGCGGCGCCCCCTGGCGGCCCCACAAGGAGTCGGCCCGTCCTGCCTCCAGGCCCCCTCCCCATGCACTGCGGCGCCCCCTGGCGGCCCCACAAGGAGCCGGCCCGTCCTGCCTCCAGGCCCCCCCCATGCACTGCGGCGCCCCCTGGCGGCCCCACAAGGAGTCGGCCCGTCCTGCCTCCAGGCCCCCTCCCCATGCACTGCGGCGCCCCCTGGCGGCCCCTGCTAATAAAGGCCCAAACATAAAACTGCCTGGAGTCCCAAGCCCTTCTCAACCTCCCCCCACTCCTTCCAGTCGTCTCACCCTTTCCTCCCCGACACGTCCTCCTGGCTGCTCCAGACTCCGGGCCTTTGCCCCGGCCGTCCCCCATGCTCGTCCCCTCCGCCTCAAGTCCCGCCTTCCCCACCTCCCATAGCGCCAGTCCCTCCCCTCTGCAGATCGCTTCCCATTTATCCCATCTACCCCTGGTTTGTAGAGTTGTTTGCGCGTTCTTCCTCCACGCCGTTAGACTGTGAGCTCCTTGAGGACGGGCACACAGGAGGCGCCTAATCAATGCCTGTGGACTCAAATCCCCCTAGTCTCCCGGACCGCAGTTTCCCCTGGTCGGCCGGCTGCTTCGCACACGCACAGCGAGGCTCAGCGGGCACGCGCGCTCCAGGGCGGAGCTCGAAGTCGGGGTCGCGCGCGGCGGACGGACTACGATTCCCAGAAGACTTTTCGCGCGACGCCAACGCTCCCTCGGTCGAGGCTGGAGGAAGGCGGGGCGCGTGACGTAACCTCCGGTTCCGACCTCTCGCCGCGTCCTGGACGCGCGCTCTCGCGCCTGTCTCGGTTCCTTCCTCAGCCGCCCGCCGCTGGGGTTCGAGCCCGCGTCCCAGGTCTGGGTGAGTGGGAGCCGGGGGCCAGGGACCCGGCGGCGACGGAAGCGCGCAGGGGGCGGGACGTCCGGCGCCGGCTGTCGGAGCCTTTGGGGGAGGGAGGACGCCCTAGGAGCGGAATGGAGCGTCTGAGGGAGGAGCTGCGCCTGCGCACCTCCCTGGCCCCGCCCTCTCCGCGGCCCCATTGGCTCCTACGTCTCTCCAGCCCCGCCCCCCCCCCGTAGTTGGGCGGGGCCGGAACTTCAGCCTCCAATGGGGGGCGGCCGAGGATTTTCCTGAGGGTGGGGGTAGGAGTGGCATGTGGACCTGAAGGGTCTTCCTTCTCTCCCTCTCCTGCTGGGGCTCCCCACTGCCCCGCTGCCTCCTGGCATCGAAAGGAAACTGAGGCCCAGAGAGAGGAAGGGGCAGGGCCGGCACTGGTGCCCCCCACCTGCAGTGACCCCCCCCACTTGCTGTGCCCCTCCGTCTGTGATTCCCCCCCTTTCTCCCCCCTCCCCGCCTCCCCCCCGTGGCCTTCCCACACCTGCTGTACCCCCCACCATCTGTGCCCCCCCACTATCTTTGGCTCCCCCCCGCCTGCCATACCCCCCCACCATCTGTGACCCCCCCATCCCCCCTGCTCTCCCTGGAGCCTGGCGCCTCCCCAGGGCACAGTTGGCAGACCCTCCTTCGGGAAGCCTGCCTAGATTCCTTCCCTGGTCCTGGGGGCCAGGCCGCTTTGTGTCCCCTTTGTACTCCCAGGAGGCTTCAGGTTCCGGCCCTCGGACCCTGGAGGCAGCCAGCCCGTGACCTCCGTTTGACCTGCGCCTGGGCAGGAGCTGAGAATGGCTCCCGTGCTCCTGATGCCCGGCAGCCCACAGGTGAGCTGGGGTGGGATGGCCCGGGAGGCCAGCAGGCAGGCAGGCCGGGGGTCCGGGCATCTCCTTCCGCACTCCCACAGAATCAGGGCTTTCCTGGTGTCACCGTGGGGGTCCTTCAGGGTGGGGGCGAGCCAGGAAGACCCGGAGCTGACTTCCAACATTGTCTCTATTTTGCAGAGGAGGGGAGACTCACTCAGAATTGCTCTAGTCAGAACTGGGTGACCGTGGGCCAGTCTCCCTGTCTGCCTCAGTTTCCTTATCCGTAAAATAGGGATGATGCAGTAAGCCGTATAAAGGGCTTCGCGCACCCAAGGGTCCTTAGTAGTTGTGGAGGCGGCTGAGCACCCACCTGGAGGGAGGGATGTCACCCCCAGGCCGGATACTTAATCAGGGAGGCCTGGAGGACCCGTGGAATCCTGTTGACCAAAGGCTTACCACGGTGCCTGGTATACAGTGGGTGCTTAATCAGTGCTTATTTCAGGGGAAGGGTGAGGTCTGGTTAGGAACGGAGAAGTTCTGGTAGTGAGAGGCTTGTCTGTGGATAGAGAGCATCTGGGGCAGGGTGAAAGAAGGAGGGGGCAGATGGCCCACCTGGCTCGTGGTGGCCACCCACTCGCCCTGGCCCGGTGGAAGCCCTGCGAGGGCAGGCCTCTCCCTGTTCACCGGGAGTGTCCAGGAAAAGTTGTTCCTTCCTCTTTGGTGGAAATGTGGCAACGTTGTGAGAAACCCTCCTCACGGGCGGCCTTCGCCACCCCGTGGGGACGATGCCGAGTCCCCACCCCTCCATCACACAGCCATAGACCCTTGTGGTCCACACCGCCCCTTACGCCTCCGGATCAGAACGGGGGCAGGTAGCAGCCTCCGTGGTCTTGCAGGCCTCCGTGACCTTCCAAGACGTGGCCGTGGACTTCACCGTGGAGGAGTGGGGGCGCCTGGCACCTGCCCAGAAGGAGCTGTACCGGGAGGTGATGCTGGAGAACTACGGGCACCTGGTCTGCCTGGGTGAGGAGCCCCACCTAGGATCTGCCCCTTTCCCCATCCCCACCCTGAGGACTTGCGGGGTCCTGCTTCGGGAGCGGACGCCTCCTTCTGAGCCCTAGTCTTTGCTGGCGCCGTCAGCCTCAGGCTTCCCCATGACCCAAGAGCGGGGCAGCGTCCGCTTTGGGGCGCTTGGGGTCTTCCTGCATTCCCAGCGGCCCCCCGCATCTTCTCTTTCCCAACGAGCAGGGCTTGTGGTGTCCAGTCCTGATGTGATCAGCCAGCTGGAGCGAGGGGACGCGCCGTGGACGGCAGCCAGAGACCCCCCGAGAAGAAGCCGCCCTGGTGAGTGAGGGAGCCTGGAAGAAGAGAGCCAGGCATGGATGCGCTTTGACTGTGCGGGCCTCAGGGTGGGCAGCTCCCCTGGGACGGAGGGGCCTGAGCTCACCCTTCTCCTCCCCTCCCTCGTCACTTGTTCGTATAGGGTGTGAGGCATTGTAAAACCCTAATTTCTGCTTGATGGCTGTCCAGTTTTCCCAGCATTTTGTCCAATAGCGACATCTTCCTCTAGTGGCTGGGGACTGAGGTTTATCAGTCTCTAGGTTCCTGTGCCCATTTGCTTCTGTGTGTCGTAGACTTAATCTGTTCCCTTGATTGAACTCTGTTTTTTAATCAGTCCCGAATCATTTTGATGATTACTTTTTTGGAGTGGAATTTGAGATCTGGTCCTGCCAGGCCCCCCTTCTTTCCCAATTTTTTCTTGAACTTTCGTTTCTCCAGATGAGTTTTTTTTCCTTCCCCTAGCTTTATAAAGTAATCCTTTGACAGTTTGATTGGTATAGTGCTGAATAAGTTAATAAATTAAGGTAGTACTGTCATTCTTATTACATTGGCTCAACTTACCTGTGATTAGTTAATATTCCTCTTTATTATTTAGGTCTTTGTTTACGTAAAATGTTTTATAATTGTATCAATATAGTTTCCATGTGTGTTGGCAGGTAGATTCCCAAGGATTTTAAGCATTCTGTCATCACGTTACCTGAACTTTCTCTTTCTAACTCTCCCTGATGGGCTTTGGTTTTGGGTTTTTTGTTTTTGTTTCGTTTTGGTATTATGAAGAAATGCCGCTGCTGATTTTATAGGCTGCAACTTCACTAGAGTTATCGTTCCAAACATTTTCAGTGGACTCTTGAGTAAATCTTCATGTCGCCTGTAAAAAGCGATGACTCTGTTTTCTTTGCCTGTGATCATTGCACCAGTTTCTTGTCACTGTCTTATTGCTGGAGGTAGCTCTCCATCAGAGTCACGGGGACACCAGACAGCTTTGCTTTACCCCTGACCCTTCTGAAAAGGTCTCTGGTTTAACCCCATTATAGATAGCACTGGCTTTTGGTTTTAGATAGATGGACTCATCCTGTGAAGGAAAAATCTATTTATTCCCATTTTCAGTGTTTAAAAAATTTGTTTTTAATGTGGCTTATTTTGTTTTGCTTTATTCTATCAACAGGCATTGATTTTCTCTTCCACCTCCTCTTCCCCTCCGTGGAAAACAAAACAGAACACAACTCTGGTAACACACACGCATAGTCAAGCAAAATGAGTGCCCTTTTTGGTCCCGTCCCAGTCTGCACGTAGGCCGCTCCTCCTCTGTCCACAGGCAGGGAGCCACGGGCCCCGTGGGGCTTTGGAGTCGAGGTTGGTCCCTGGGTTGTTCTAAGTCTGAGGTCTTTGCTTTGGCTAAAGCATCTGGGCCTTTATGTCCTTGGATCCTGCTTTCCCATCCTTTCTGCCCATTCACGTTGACCATTGTCAATCCATCCTTCTTCCTCCTCTTTGTAAGGAAGGTGCTCTCCGCTGCAGTGCTCAAAGTTTGGGCCGGTCTGGTTCTGCTCCCCTGCCCCACTTATCTTTGCCTCGGGCAGAACCCAATTCCAGAGTCTTTTTCCTTTTTGACCCTTCTAGAACTAATCCCTCCTTTAATCTACCCTCTTATCGTTTCCCTTCTTTTCATTGTCCTCCTGTTTCTCTTTTGAGTGAAATGTATTTCTGTTCTCAACTTTGTGTGTGAGTGTGTGTGTGGGGGGACTAAGTGGGTATGTTTGTGTGAGTGTGTAGGTGTGTAAGAGTATGTGTGTATGGGTGGTGGGTGGGTTGAGGTGTGAGTGTGTTTTCTTCCTTCCTTGACTAGTTCAGAGGAGAGTGAGGTTCTCCCCAGCCCTTCCCCCTTGTTTGTACTGAAGTTGTGAGATAATCGGTCTTTATGATAGGATTCTTTTTTTTTTTTTTTCTTCATTCTTCTCTTCCACTCTCTGACTTCAGACTTGATGCTCTGACCAAGCTCTGGGTGCTTCCAAAGGGAATGTCTGGGCTGAATTTGTCTCCTCTCGGGCTCAGCTCCTTTCTTGGAGATCAAGGGTTGTGTTGCTCCAGGATCTCGGGCAGAGTTCGAGCTGGAGATCTCCACGCTTCAGCGCTCCCAGAGTGGTTTGATCCAGGGCAGAGTGTGATCACTGCCCCCGAGTCTGAGCTCTGCCAGTCTCTAACTGGAGTTTGTGTCTGAGCAGCACAACTGTGGGCTTGCCCCTAGTTGGAGTTCCAGTAGACTGCTCCTGGGCTTAGCTCCTGTCAGTCCATTGAGAAGCCGTGCTTATTCCAGTGCAGGCCTCAGTCTAGGCTGGAGGCTGAAACTGAGAACAAGCTCTGTTCCTGGGGTCTGAGCCTTCAGCCTCTGCTGGCTTCTGGACTTGCTCCTCCCACGGCCTGGGCCCGTGATAGCTGCCACCGCCTAGGGTAGATCCCCTCCTCGGTCTGCGTCTGTGACCTGAAACTGAATAGGGAGGTACGTGTGGCCTTGCTCCTGCCGTGGGCTCACGGTTGTGCCCTTTTGTGTGGCTCTGGCGCCTCTACCTGCCCTGGTCCACGACTTCCAATGCCAGGCATGGCCCTTCGCTGGACCCTGTCGTCCCTCATGTCCACCGACCCCTCAGTCTCAAGTCCAGTCTGGTTTTCCTGGTTGGGGTCTGTCCTGGAGACATTTCCTCGAGCTTTGTGGAGGAGCCCACCTGTTCTCCGGCTGCTCCCCAGTCTTGGCGGGTCTTGTGTTTCACCACAAGCTTTTCCTGCCTATCTCCATAAAATCAGTTGGTTTTTGATGCATGTCTCTGTTATTAACACGTTCTAGGCTGTGCGTGGTTTTCCTAATACGCAATACTGCCCTCCTGCTCTAAATGCAGCCTGGTAATAGCGTATAACCTTTTTACTATCCCTCCATTGAATATGAATCCACACTGTAGCCTTTTTGTTGGTATTTATCATTTTTTGATAGTGTTCATGAGAGATACTGGTTTATAGTTTTCTTTCTGTTTTGATTGTTCCTGGTTTGTGTGTCACAAAAGGAATGTTGGATCCCTTCTCCCAACCCTTTTCCCCACACAACAATGGAATTAAGTTTTCTTTGAATGTTTCATAGAATTCACTTGTAAATCCATCTGGTTGTGGTTTTTTTTTCTTTTTGACTTCATTTATAGTTTAATCAGTTCCTTTTTCTGAGATTAGGATTATTTAAATTCTCTCTTTTTGGTTCTGTTAATTTAGACATTTTATATTTTTGTAAATACCCATTTCATTTAAATTGTCAGTTTTATTGGCAAAATAATTTCTAATAATTTTCTCCTTTTCTTAATTTGTTGTTAATTCTCTTTTTAAAAATTTTGATGCTGATAATTTAGTTTTTCTTTCTTTCATTTAATCAAGTTAGCTAACAGTTTATCTATTTAATATCCCTCTCTGAAAAACCATTTCTTCTTTTTATTTAGTAACTCAGTGGTTTGGTTTTTTTTTTGTTTTTTTTTTAGCTTTAAGTTTTGTTCACCTCTGGCTTTGATTTTCTGAATTTCTGTTTCCATATTTGAAGTTTTAGAAAATATGTTGACTTCTAGGTTTTGGGTTTTTTTTTTTTTTTTTTTTTAAGTTTTGTGTCCAATTTATTGATCTATTGTTTATCTCTTTTGTTGATCAAAGTGACTAGAGATACACTTTCCCCTAAGGATTACTTTGGCTCTGTCCCCCAAATTTGGGTAGGTTGTCTCATTATTGTCATTATCTTTAATAAAGTTACCTTTTATTTCTATGATTTGTTCTTTGACCCGCTAGTTCTTTAGGATTAATTTATTTAGACTACAATGAATCCTTTCTACAGTGGCCCTAATTGTGTATAATTTTTATTTCACTGTGGTCCATAAAGAATGTGTTTAATATTTCTTCTTTTCTGCATTTGGTTGTGAAGTTTTTATGCCCTAATTGATGGTGCCATTCATAGCTCAGAAATATGTGTACATGTTGGGCAGTTTGGTGGCACAGTGGATGGAGTGCTGGGCCCGGAGCTGCGAAGACCTGAGTTCAAAGGCAGCTTCAGATACTTCCTGGCTGTGTGACTAAGCAAGTCATCGCCTCAGTTTCCTTAACTGTAAAGTGGGGATAATAATAGCACCTACTCCACAGCATTGTTTGGAGAATCAAGTGAGATAATATTTGTAAAGTGTTTAACAATGCCTAACACATAGTAGGTATTTAATAAATACTTACTCCCCCTGCCCTTCCCTTTTCCCATTCAGTAACTGAGTGGTAGGTGGTGTAGTAGACAGAGCACTGGGCCTGGAGTCAGGAAGATTCACCTTGTTGAGTTCAAATCTGGCCTCAGATACTTAACTAACTCTGTGACCCTGGGCAAGTCACTTCTCCCTGTTTGCCTTAGCTTCCTCATTTGTAAAATGAGCTGGAGAAGGAAATGGCAAACCCCTCCAGAATCTCTGCCAAGAAAACTCCAAATGGGGTTACAACTGAAGTGACTGAATCGTCACAGATCCCCTACAGCTAACTTTTCTAGAATCCTATTCAGGTCCTTAACTTAGTAGTTTTTGGTTAGATTTGTCTAGGGCTGAAAGAGTTGAACTTACATCCTTTATCAGAGAGTTTTACATGGTCTCATTTGGCCTTTTAAAACAGCATTTAGATGCTACACCACTTGGCACTCCTATGTTTAGTATCGATGTCAGTTGTCTTTCAGCCAAAAGGACGTTCTCTGTTGACCTCTTTTAATCATCCGTCCTTGCCGTCTCCTTGTTTAATGCGTGATTGCCACTCCTCCTTGTTGTGAGTTCAGCTGAAGTGTCACAGACTGGCGCTGGCCCTTCTTTTTATTCTCTCTGAGTCATTATCTGTCAGGTGTCTTTCTTGTAAATGGCGCCCTGTTGATTTCTGCTTTCTAATACATTCTGTTGCCCTCTTCCATTTTCTGAGTGAGTTTATCACATTCACATTCACAGTTGTGATTGTTGATTATTTCCCTCCATCTTATTTTTTTTGAGGGGGGCTAGGCAATGAGGTTAAGTGACTTGGCCAGGGTCACACGGCTAGTAAGTGTCAGGTGTCTGAGGCTGGATTTGAACTCAGGTCCTCCTGACTCCAGGGCCGGGCTCTATCTGCTGCGCCACCTGGCTGCCCCTTCTCTATCCTATTTTCTTAGATTTTTCCCCCCTTTTTGCCCCTTGTCTCCCTCTTAACAAAGCAGACGTTAAAGGGAAGGGATGGAATAAGCAGTTTATACTGTGCCTGATATGTGCCAGGCCCTGGCCTAAGTGCTTTTTACAGACATTTTCTCATTTGGTCCTCGCAGCAGTCCTGCGAGGTGGGTGATTTTATTATCCCTGTCTTACAGATTAGGACAGTGGGGCAAACAGGGTTAGGTGGCTTGGCCAGGGTCACACAGCTAGGAGGTGTCTGAGACCAGATTTGAACTCAGAAAGAGGAGTTCCGCCCGGTGCTCCATGCCTTGTGGCGCCCCTTGGCTGCTGGTGAGACCAGAGGATGCTCAGCCCCAGTGATGTGGATGCCAGGCATTGGGCCACTGCCCCTGGCCCTGCCCCAGCCGTGGCTTCTTGCCTTTTCTTTTCACACGGAGTTTGTTTGCTTGTCACCGATGTTCTCTGACCCTCCTCCCCATGCCCAAGAGTTAAATGTGTGTGTGTATGTGTATGTGTGTGTGGTCTGTGTGTGTATGTTGTGTATGTGTGTGTATGTATGTAGTGTGTGTATGGTGTGTGGTGTGTGTGTTTTGTATATGTGTATGTATGTGTGTAGTGTGTATGGTGAGTGTGTGGTGTGTGTGGTGT